TTCGTACAGTCGTCTGTCTCCAAACACATAGTTGTATGTTTATAGACATCTGTGTGCGTGACATAGACGAGTTTACGATAGGTGTACCCCAAAAAGTGTACACCTAACACAACTCATGTAAAAATGTGAATAATTTGAAATGACGATGGAAAAATGTTTACCAAAAGTTCAGACTTTTGCTACCAAAATAGTTGGGATTATTATTACTACTGTGATACACTTTTTCTACATATTCTACAATTTCCATTATATACCTCAAAGTTATAATATTAATACATTTTCATTAAAAACAGTCAAAACCTCTAAAACCTATGCCCCGATACACTAAAATTAAATGAAAAACTATATAATATAATATAATATAATTTGTAGAATATAATAATATAAAATACAGATTAGAAAGAAACTAGAAATACTAAAATGAAAAAATAGAAAATTTAGATTTTTTGAATTAAGATAGCATAAAAAATAAATAAATTTTAATCATTGTTTAGTTTTTGAAAAAAGAGAATGTAAATTTGAATAAAAGAAAATAATACAAAATCATAAATTAGTAACACAACTGGGAAAAACAAATTGGGAAAGGGGGGAAATAATTTTCAGTGAAAATAAATTGAAAAATGGCTAAAAATATTTTATTTAACGTCAGTACATTTGTATAATTTTCGTAGTTGAGATTAACAAAAAAAAGTCAACTATAGTTGCGATTATTTAAAACTTACACATAATTCACATGTAAAATTGACATGCTATACCGGTTTGTAACCGGTTAGAGAATGTTTTTGGAAAATGACCCTATAGTTCGGACCACCCTGGAATAATCGATAGTTGGGATTAACGGCGGATCATCAGTAGTTGAGATTATTAGTTTCAATTTTTTATTTTATTTTTTCATGGAGTTTTTAATTTGATTTTTTGGGTCCAAACGAAGTCGGTAAATAATAGTTCGCATTATTATAATCTGATACTCGTATTTTTTTAATAGGTAGCCGCCTAGTCGGTCAGGTCGGGCCCTTGTTAGCGGAAGTTGCCTTAAGTTGAGATTGTTCTGAAATAATCTATAGTTGGGATTATTATAAGTGACTGCAAATTTATTGGATTTTCAGAGCCCGTTTGGTAGCACGAAAATCGGTTGATTTGGCTGATTCTGCTGAAATTTATGAAGTTCTGGATGGAGTTGCCGCATTGGTTGATTCTGTTGAATTTTATGAAGCAAAAATTATTTTTAAAATATATTTTATTAATAAAATAAAGAAATATTATATGCAAAAATAGCTAAAATGATCATCTACACTAACTTCAACCAATACAACTAGAAAAATAACTTCAATCGTATTTTTTCTGCTTATGACACAATTCAGCGCGCGAAAGAAAAAATTATGTATTTGACGAAATAGTTGACTGATAAGCCTTATAAGCCGAAAAACAATATTGCCAAACAGATCCTCTTTATTATCAAATTTTTTAAAAGTAAATATACACCAAGTAAAAATTTCAAAAAGTAAAATATAACCTCCTCACGTGAGATGCACACTCGTCTTTCTCCAAATAAGACCACTTACGGCTATAGCTTTTTCCGTCTCTGAAAATAGCTACTGCTCTCGTCGTCCTTTTTTTATCTCCTCCCCTGCTGCTGATACTCATTTTTTTTCATCGCTACTGATACTCGTCGGAAATAGCTTTTAGGTATGTATTTCATCCCCTCTTTGAAGCTGTCTTCTATTTTATACATTTTCGCTTTCTTCATTGGCTTTCTGCATTTTGGGCATTCTTAGTTTCAAGCTACTTCTTGGTTTCAAGCTTTTCTTCGGGTTTTTCTTTGTAAATTTCTTCTTCCTTTTTCTTATGCATACATTTCATTCTTATGGATCTCTAAAAGATGAGATGATGTTCTGCCGGTCGGTAATGGGTTTCTCCCGTTCTGCGGCGTGGTGGCAGGACCGCTAGGGGAGTGGCTCCGGGTTAGATAGGGTTCAATCTGCAGGGATCATGCAAATACATAGGCCTCTTCCATTCTCTTTGCATTTACCGATATGTTCTGTTCTACACTAACCAAGACTTGAAGGTTTTATTTGTGGTGGGGATGTGAATGGGGAAGATATTATTTTTGACTATTGCAGATTCCCTATAAGAGCAGATTAAGATGTAGTAGCTTTATTTTTAGAGAACTATGTTTTTCTAGTCTTTTTTTTTATGCGATGCCACCAAAAAAAATCTGGAAGAGTGTTGTTCAGAAACATCTATCAAGGAGTACTCCATATGTTTCTAGAGCTATTTGGTCTACATGTTGGTAATCCCAGTGCTGCTGAATGTTTAGAGGCTAGAATGGGCTTAGCCAGAATGTCAGATTGTTGACGATACCATTAATGTCTAGCCAAGCCAACTCCTCAACAGATAGTTTATCATCTCGATGGGCAATTCACTCTTTCATTTAAAGGAAGAGAAGAGATGGCCTTTTAGTTTTTTCTTGCTTCTTATCGTTTACCTGACTTCCCACCTAACCTTAGATAGCGAAAAGGCTCTTTGCAAGAAGAAGTTCTTAGGCAGCTATTGAATCCGCTAGTCCATATGTTGTTAAAAAATTAATGCCTTTATTTAGCACATCATCAATTTTAAGAAATGTAAGTTTTGGTATTTAAGTTTTCATGCAAACATAAATGTTGGAATGTATTTGGTGAAGGTTTGACATGTTTCATTACATTGTGCAATTAGTGTGGACTGTACTGTTAATTAGAAAGATATGGTTGTTTCTTCTCCTTTTTTTGGTAGCAACTCGTGTGGATATACAAAGCCAACATCTCAAATGGTGCGACATGTGTATTTTAACTGTTTCCAATTTAGTTGATGCAAGTATATTTGTGAGCTTATATGAGAGTTGTAATGTCTCACTAGTAATCTAACTGGCTAGTGCAAAGGTTTACAAACATTCCAACATTACGAAACCTATTGATTTTTTTTGTCATTTTGCTGATTTTAAACCACTTCGATTTGTTTTTTGTAGGTGAACATGGCGTTTCTTGGATGCCCAGGGGTTGAGGTATGTATTTTTAAGTAAATAAGTTAGCTTACACTACTTCTGTCCCAAATTGATTTGCAAAATTGACTTTTATTGGTCAAACAAATTCATTTTATTCACTTAATTAGGATGTCAATTTGAAGTATATTCCAATTTGAAATTTGTACTCCCTTCATCCCGAAGTATAAGATACCTTTTGGTTTACGATGTTTGACCGACGATAAAGCAAACGGATCCCCGTCTGCACTCAAATTATGTTTAGAAAATAAAAATCACATATTCAGAAACTACATTAAAAACCGCTACAAAACCTGCAAAAAGTAATTCAAATTTCATAAAATTTTGATATATAAGGTAAGAGATTAAGAGTGATTTGTGTTGACCGGGTGAATAGTAAGGACATCTTATAAAATGGGACAGAGGGAGTAACTTTAAAAAAAGTTTAATACAGATAAATTTTTTTTATTAAAAATTCAATTAATTACCCATAAGGAGAATTTAACATTAACATTTGTTGTAAATCAAATGTTTTACAACAAACTAGACTGGATGCATATGTAAGTTTTATCGTGCATGCATATGTATTAGAGTATACTTTCTCTTCCGAAACTAGACTGGATCAAAACTAATGATATTTTCCCATATCAGAACAACAAACGACCGTTACTAGCAGCCCGAACCATTTGTATGTATGTGGACAAGAATCGGCTAATTTTGATTCATTATATGCATGTAACGTAGAGCTGAGTAATGTTCATGTCAATCTGCACGGACATAATCGCCTTTTGACCCACTAAAAAATTTTGGTCAAAATTGTAAGCCTTAGAGACTCATCCAATGTTTCTCTATATATACTACGTATACACTACGGAGTATTAATTACTAGTAATTGATTCCTCATGGGAGACCACCCAATTACCTCTGCGGATCCTCATCGACTACCGGTAGCGGCAGCATGCGTAACCACGGGGGCAGCTTGCCGAGGGTCACTGGGCCGATATCGGGGGCCACACCGCAGGTAACCGGGACCACGCCCGGTACATCGGGGCAGACCACGGAACGTTCGAGATTTACCCGACTACCCCTAAGGGTTTACGATGATTTGCGCGCCAGAGGATTATGCTTCAAATGCCGGAAGCCTTCACACCGGGACACGAATGCTCCTTAAAACAATTAAGGGTGATGCTCGCAGACAAAGACGAAGATTTGGACTTACAACAGCATGATTATTACGAGATAACAGGACAGGAGGAACTTCCACTACACGATGAACCTCCTAAGGGCCATGAGGGTGATTTTCCGGTGTATGTTATGGCCGGAATTTTCAATAATTTTGAAAATTAGGGTTATAAACGAATCGAATAATTTTGATTCGATTCGTGATTCGGATTTGAAAATGTATATTCGAATTCGAGCAAGTAGAATACGAATACGAATACAAATCTCTCTTTTGATTCCGAATACGAATACAAATACTATGATATTCGATTCGAAAAATATTAGAATATATTTGAATATATATATATATATAGTTCAATGTAAAAATATCAATTAAATAATATTTATGTACAAAAACTAATAGGTATTTTGCATGTTTTAATTTAAATGTTTTAACTTTGCTAAGTCAAAATATATTATTTTAGAGTATAATTCTCCGTTAATTTATTTATATTGATATTTTATTTGAAGAAGTGACTTGTAGGTATATTTTGTTTGGTATGAAATATGTACTATCAAAATGAGGTAAAAGGGGCAAATTATACATCATAGTTGTAATTATTTTCATAATTTAACTTTAATGTTTTTGAATACGAATATTCGAATAGTATTCAAATATACCAAACGAATTGAATACGAATATAAAATACTATTCGAATATTAAACGAATACGAATATTCGAATATTATACGAATACGAATAATATTATGATTAGTTTCCGATTCGTTTACAACCCATCCCATTCGTTTACTACCCTAGCCTATATCACATATGAGACACCGACTGATCTCTCCATTGTTATGTGCTGATTTAATCGCCAACTTCTACGCCAACTATTCCTAGACCCCTTCCACGTCTTCCTGATATGAATTCCAGCAATTCATATCAAATTATCAATCCATATTCGATACCCCGGTCGGTTACTGTATGTCACCAAGAAAATAGAGTGTCCGTATGCTTGGTTACGATGCTATGAGGTGCGCTCCTTTCAAATTAAATACGAGTATGTGTAATCTTCAATTCTGGTTTACTTATTTGTTTCAGTTTTCCGAATTAAGTATATATTTAGATGTTTAGTTCTGGGTGTTGTTGACCGTTAGAGGTACATAAAAAGGCATCGAGGCAAGCAAGTTTTGTTCTCCCTTTCAATTATCTCGTGTTCATTTTATTTGTTCATTAAGTACTACAAGCTGCAGAATCCGGGAGTAATTAAATAAACAAACTGTACATGGGATTATTTTGACAAATTGTAAGAAAATTTTTAATTATAAGAGTGCTGCAGGCTGGCTAAGGAAATGCTCACTAAGTGTTTGTTAAATTGTATGAACCAGATTCACCGCACCAACTTACAGAAGCTTTGGTCCTAGCCTATACCAAATATTCACGATTAGAGAAAAAAACTTGAGTTATTTTTCATTTCTTCATAATCCCACTAAAACTATTTTAACATTTCTTTTGGGTCAAAATAGAAAAGAATATGGAATATTAACATGTTCTAGATTACATTTTAATTATGGAAACAAGTCAGTGTTCATGCAAAAATGTAATCTGCATCATTTGAGTTTGCATACAACTTTTACACCATAACTATTAAATATTTCTTCTTCTTCTTCTTCTTTAGTATAATAATGTGATGGTATAATCATCCTAGAGGTCTGGTCATTCCAATATGCAGATATTTTCTAAACATACAAATCTAAAGGAAAAAGTGTAGGAGGCCCACTAAGGTAGTTTATAAAAGTAGTATTTCCTTGTGTATAGAGATATAGACCTTATAATTTTGTAGTTTAACATTATGACATGAATAAAAGATTCATAGAATAAACATAATAATATCTCATTCCATAGCTAAGCTAAGAGGAATTCCTGTATTTGGGAGTTTCAAGTTGCTGCAACTATTTAATTTCATTATGTTAATTATTTGAATTTTGAAATAATAAAAGTAGTTAGTGTTCTATTCTGAGTAGCTCATAATACTTATACGTAGTAGTATTTTGAATGAATAAAAGTAGATGCTTACAAGTTTTCAATTGGTTATTTTACCTTAACATTACTTTTCCTATTACATGATAGGTTAATGAATGTCACATGCTTGTCCAACACACAATTTTCATGCATATTCTATGTCCTTAACTACTTCCATTTTGTTTCCTTTCCTTCGGTTAGAGTGCTTTACAAACCAATTTCTATGGTAAAATTTGAGTGTCTCATGCACGAGTTAGATGGATTGAATTATACTATTCAAATTTATATTAATTATTTACCTTGAACCACTTGCTAGCTAGCCAGCTAGGGATGGGGCATACTAAGACCCAGTCCATCCCAAATTTTAAAAAAGTCTCTATTTTTATGTGCTGAAAAGCTGATGTAAAAATTATTAAAAAAATTATTTTCTAACAATGTCCTGATCTTGAAATATCATTAGCCTCACTATTATGATTGACTTTTCATGGAAAAGAGTTGTTTTGATTGGTATGTAGATATGTTTATTGTGATTGTATATGTTGATTTCTGCATATTGCTACATAGATAAATGTTTTTTTTGCTAAGGTTTGGTCAATTAATACTTCTCATATCTTTTTAAGTTATTACTATAGGGCTTATAGGCCATTTAACAAATATCCTGATTTTTATAGTGACACAAGTATTGCAACTATTGCGATATGCTATTTTTAATCACGAATGAGCTATATTGATTCTAACCACCTAGGCACCTACACACCTAATAAACTGCCTGTGAGGTAATTTGAGGTATTTTATGGAAAGAGAACTAGGAATTATTCTCACTTTTTGGATAGAAATTTTATATTACATTCATTTGCATGTGACTGCGTATAGGGGTAAGACTGCGTACATCCGACCCCCCCTTACCCCACTGTAGGTGGGAGCCTTTGCGGCACTGGGGTAAATGAAAATGATATGATATATTCATTTGCATGTGATAATTTCTAAAATCGTGAATCTTAGAATTATACACTATTAATTTCATCATACTGCAGCCCACATGTGTGCAAAAAGAGATGTAGAATATTTTATTAAAAAAAATATTGGTCATTGACCCAATCGCGCAACGTGCGTTACAAAAACTAGTACTATTTAGTGATGTGACTGATGTCAATCGCGCGCTATAGCGGTGGAGCGGAGCGGAGGAGAGGTCTGGCGCTACTAGACCTCCTGTAGCATGGCGTTTGGGTGAAGCAGAGATAGCGAGTGCTATACAGGTTGAGAGGCGGATGCTATAGCGGCGCTTTTTCCAATCGAAGGTCTTTCGGGTTTTTCTATGTTTTGTTTTTTTACTGCAGATGGACAGGGGTAAAGTACACTTTTAAAATTAAATAATAAGCAACTTAAAACCCTTGTACACGTACGCAGAAGTGTAGAACCCCTTAACAGCGCACAAGTAAGCAACTTTCTCTTTGCTCTGCGATGACCTCTGCTTCAACAAAATTTCTGCTCCATCTTTTCATGAACGACCTTCACTCCTTCATTTTTTCAAGAACGACCTGTGCTTCTTCATCATGTACAAGAAACATACATGCTACACTCCTCTTTGTTTCTTTCTAGTGGTAGACTGATAGACTATTAATTTATCAAGGCTTAACCCAGGAACTCGTTTTTTATTCAATATTTTAACTTAAGATGTTTTAATCATTAATAGCATTGTATGTTTTGCTCATGAAACTAAGGAATATTTCTCAGTAATTTAGGATTTAAAGATGTTAAGATGTTTGCAACTTTCAATGGCATATATCAAACTTTACTGATGTGTATGTAATGTAATTATATGCTTGTAGTTAATTATGTATTATACTTGAAAGTAGTCTGAATAGCGGTCATCCCGCTATCCGCTATACCGCTATAGCATTTTCAGGGCTGGCTGCTCCGCTCCGCTACTCGGGATTGACAACACTAGTACTATTATACAAGTATAATGTAATACAGAGTTGTATAAGTAAATTATACTGAAACTGACATATAATATACTACCGTACTACATATGTGGGAATCTATAAAAAGAAATTAAAAACATGAACATATAATAGGTTAGGTCGATATAATAAGAACATCATCCTCTCTCCATATTTTAAAATTTGCAATATTTTTCTTTTTAAAATGTATTTAAAAGGTTTACTACATTTTTCCTCTTTTATATTTTGACACTCTATGTCTCACTTTTTCTCTACTATTCATTACTCTTACTCATTTTGTGCTTAAATGATATGCCAAAGTCATGTAGCAATCTTTAAAATATGAAGTATAAATTCTTCATAATTCATTTACAACTAAATTCGAACTTTTTCTAAATTTTTGGCGACGGCAGGTGGCTAGTAAGGCATCCCCTTGCTACACCCATGCGCAATGGGCTGGTTATAATGTTTGTGATACAGACAAAACATGCACAAGGTGTACACAAAATGTGTACATCAAGCATGATTGTAATATGTATATCGGTTAGAGATATCGGCTCTTAGAGAGTTGAATCGAGAACTGGCCATCATGGGAACATGAACCAAACGACAAGTCATTCCACCCTAATATGGATATTTTTCATTGGACTGATTTTTTTTGTGTGATTTGGTATGGTCTTGTGAATGTATGTTTGATGTTAACTATATAAAGGAAAGAAACTGGTCCACTCTAAAATATTCTAAGTAGTTTAATTTTTGTACTCAACTTCAAATAAACTCTTAATATTGTTTGGTTGAGTTTTGTCAGTTAATACAACCATTTGAGAATTTAAGGCACAAATAAACCATAAATATAACTTCGAAGTAGGGGTGGACATCCATTCGATTTGGATTTTAGACCGGCCGACTCTTGGGAAGAAATATGGGAACCAGTACCTAGACCTTTGTTTCTGGTTCCAGCCTTGTATTGGCTCTTGCCTGTCTCGGTCTGGTCCCATACTTACCCCAACCCAGTTTTTATTTTTGTTTTTTTTTAGAAACCATCATTCTTCATAGCCGTTTTTAGATTTTAAATGGATTTAAAACTCTTTTAAAATGTTTCCCATTAATTCAAATGCAAATAATGTACTACAATTTAAATCAGACCGGCCGGTCCTGTTTGAACAAAGTGTGGCTAAGAATAAGGACCTCTTTTCATTTTTTCTTCTCTCCTCCTCCACATTTCTTCTTCCACCTCGTGACTTTCTATACTGTTCTTTCTTTCCCGGCCATCTCAAGACCAGGCTCCAACTTTTCTTTCTTTATTCCTTCTTTCTCCCTGTATTCTCCTCCCACCAGATATTCTCTCTTCCCTTTCTTCTTTTCTCTTCCACCGTAGGCCAGTGTCCTTTTCTTTTTCTTTGTTTTTTACTTCTTTCTTTTGTTATGATAAGTTCTTCCACCCCTGCTTGATTGGCCCACAGAAAATGCGCTCCGATAGTGGGGATCTTGTGCAGGGAAGCACAGGGGTTTTTCAACTGGGATTCAGCCAGTCGCCGGCGCACCAGTACTAGAGTTGGGGTCCATTCCGGCGCTTCTGTTGGAGCAACTAATTGGGTGGAGGTCAAATGGAATCGCACTGGTTGTCTTCTTCCTGGCGTGGCTGGTTAAGCCTTTGTGACTGCAGAATGATTTCCTTCTCGACGGGGAGATGCAAGTAGAGAGGCATAGAAGGCATTTTGAAGGAAGAGATGGGGCGACAGTGGATTTGTGTGTCAACAACTAAGGTCTATAGGTCGAGATTTAGGTGTATTTTGTTAATTATGTGTGTATTTAGTTGTCAAAGAAGAGGAAGGAAACGCAAGCGGTAACAGGCTAACCGGTGGCTAACTGGCTAAATTTCCCATTTGATCGGTTTTTTAAAAATTTAAGGACTTCATTGAATGTTTTTATACTTAGAAGGCTTAATTGATTTTTTCGACATACTACGAGGGCCAAAGATTCATTATTTTTTGGCTTGAGAATATGATGTAATAAAGCAAACTGGCTCACTAAACTGTCTGCGTTTCTTTGTTATGAAGCAGCAGTCAGTCCATGCAATTTTGTACGCGATTTTCACTATGGGTCATCCAGAAACAGTCTCTTTGTGCTTTAGTACAAGGGTAAGACTGCGTACATCCGACCACCCCTTACCCCACGTAGGTGGGAGGCTTTGCGGCACTGGGGTAAATGAAAATGATGACTACGAGGTTCTATTTGACAATTTCCCCTTTTTCTTTCTATTATTTGAACTCACTCAAAATTCCTATTATTGAACCCATAGCTAAATGTGAAGAACATTTAGCAAGGGCATCCATTTTTGGTAGCCGAAAAATAGATCAGCTCGCTCAGCCTGCCCGCACAAATGGGAGGGCTTGAGCATATATATATATATATATATACACACACACACACATATACATATACATATACATATGTATATATATACATATACACACACACACACACACACACACATATATATATATATATAAACCCATCTGACCTGCCTAGCCCCGGCCCACAAAATCATATGGGTAGGCTTGGGTAGGAGGTGGGCCCGTTTGGGCCGATAAGCCTGCTTTGCTACATTTAGTATATACACATGTGCTTATGTATAAATTATTTACTTATTTACATATAAATGTGTAGGTATTGGTATTTACATTAAGTTTTTGGTTCTTAACAACTAGCCTAACCAATATAACATCTATTTTTATACTAAATGAAATTCATGTGAAATGGGATTATAGAAGAACAGGGAATTGTCGGATAGAAGATATTAGCAGAAAGGAAGCTTGTAGAAGCCTGTGAGATTTTCCATAGAAAGGATTCATTTATTATTGGAAGAATTGAAATTAGACTTTTTTCTGATAGGATTAGAGTTTCTAACAGCAGACCGCGACAGCTCATGCAGCCGCAGTATTGCAGTTGCTGGGGGCGGTGCAACCGCATTGAATTGCTATAGCGGTGTCTATTCGAATCGATCATGACAAAAACCCGTAACTCGCGACGAAAGCGCAATGGCGCCGCATCACAGCTCAAAACAACCGCAATCAGTCCCAACCGCACCGCATCGGCCTGCATCATGCCACTACCAGCCGCAACGGCTGCATTCTTAGTTTGTGTGAATTTGAAAATATTTTACACTGCAACGGCCGCAATACACATGCACCGGCCATATTAGCCGCAACCACAATTTAAGACCCTGGATAGGATTAGACGTTAGTAATTTTTAAAATCAATAATTAGTTTTAGGATGAAACATGTTTTTCTAAACTCAAAGTAAATAGTGTAATGTTTTGTTGAAACTGAAAAAAACAAAGAAAACAACTAATTAACTTTAACCAAAACAACCAACCTTTACTACACAGTAACATTATCTCCAATGATCATGATGCTACTTCTAAGGGCGTTTTTATGAATGTAAGAGTTCTATAACTAGGAAATAAGTAAAAAATAGTTCTAATACGCAGTACATGATAATTTCCCAAAGTAAAAAATACGGATAAAGTTTTTTATATGAACTCAGTTCATTTTTAATCGTATTATGAAATGAATCAAACATTTAATGTTTTATTTCATCTTGGAATTAGAGTTTCCGCAGCTTGACGACGAATCAGAAGGGACTACTTCTAGATGTGGTTCATGATAACTATGGTTAGTACAATCATTAGTTTTGCTTATTTAGATATTTTTGATCATTTAATTAATTACTTAAAGTTGGTTTAGGAAAAAGTTCCCCTTAAAATTCTTCCCACTTATTTATTTGGGACTTCCCAAAAAAGAATGCAATTCCTCTTTTTGGAAATTTTTTTGTGGCTAACATTCATTTAACTTTTTCTTATTCAACTAAAACCACACATTTTCACTTTATTCTCACTTTCTTAAACTTCAATCCAAGTTAAATCGGGAAGCATTTTAAGCAATGAAGAGAGTACAATTTATATATTGATAAAAATGTTATAAAAAATGTAATACGAAGTAATATAGGCAGGTCCTGATGGCACTGTTAGTGTTCTGTTGCTGTCACTAGGCATCACTGTCGCTGTAAATTACGTTACAATAACCGCCTAAAAATGATTTCGGTAAATTGAGTAATAAATCTGAAAAAACGGGAAATTTTTCTGTTCACTTTTTCGGCGGCGGCGGTTTAATTGCCAATAGTTACTGCTGGAGGCAGCAAGAGAACATGGGATAGGGCATGGGAAAGTTGGGTCTTAATAGAATTTTGAATTGATTTCTTCTTTTAATAAATTTATATAGGTCATTGTTACGCACACACTTTCGCGGAGGTACTTGGAGCAGTTTATGCTCATGAGCTCAGTTCCCGGAAAAAGGATTGGCCTGCAACTCATATCCCTCTATCAGCTCAGCAAATAATTGACCAGCTGCCTGTTGTATATCAAAATGAAAATGTCTTGGAACAGTTCAAACCAGAAGTTGGTTGGGTGATAGAGTACATGAAAAACTACGGAGTCACCGCAAAAAGTGAGTATGATGAACGAGCTGAAATTGAGGAAAATGTTAATATTCAGCAGGTAATGGGCTAATATCAACCTAAAAATATTTTAATTAATTACTTTTAAATAATAATGTAATAACTACTTTTTGCATTTCTATTTATTTTTTTAGATGACCCGTTATCGTCCCATGACAATAACAAATATTGTCAATTCTCCTAATCTGAAGAAGGAGTTAAGGATGTACCCTCTCGTGGGGGTGATGGCGGCCGGCGAAACTCTTTACGATTATAAATGCAATGTAAGTTCAAGTTTACTTGCTTTTTCATTGTTTCAACTAGTATGTCACCCGTGCGATGCACGGGGGACTATTGTGGACTCATATATAACAGAAAAAGACATTTATAGAAGTATGATAAAGAGTATATAACACAAAAAACAAACATTCATATATGTGAAAGAAAAACTGGACGAGGAAGCGACCGGCCACATGATCTCGGTTCACGGTTCAACCTGAACACGGTTGGTCAATGCCGGAAACCCAGTCAATAATTACACTGACCATATAAAAATAATAAACATATAATTACATACAAATATATAATCGACTAAAGATAATACTTATTAATCATTTAAAACACTCATGATATTCCAAAATACAATTTCGATCATATTAAAATATATGTTGATACTTGTTATTTGTATTGTACTTTTTAAATATAATTTGGCAATATTTTCATTCTTAAATAAATATATAAATATAGTACATATATTTCCTTTTTAGGGTATTTAAAATGCAACTTTATGGGTTTAAAAATTCTTAAAAATTAAAAAAAAAATGTCATTTTCTTTTTTGTGAAAAAACAATCAAAACTGGATTTCCCCCGGGTTTTTCAGGTCCGGGTCTGGGCCAGGTTTTCCATGGTTACCAGGTTTTGCCGAATTTTTGTGAAGTCCTTTTTTTTAACTAATCAAACTGGATTTTAGTTTGGATCGTCGGGTTCTGGATCAACCCGGCTAGTCTGGGTGAGTTTTTAAACACAGATTTTAGTTCAAAGGATCCCAATAATTTCCGTCACTAAGCATTTAGTTCAACTGGAAATGAAGTACTCCGTATTGTTTGTCGTGGCTGCAATTTCGATGATCATGTCTAGCAAATGAAGTATTTTTTTTTTTGTTTTTGATTCAACCGCATCAACATCATGAATTCTTCACTGACCAAAACATTTTTAATTTTGAAAATCAACCTTGAGAATTATTATCATTTTCATTTTTACAATTGTAATTAATAGCATTTGTGCTTGTTAATCTGACAATCTGTTGCTCCGTAATAGATATTTGAGCCAAATATTTTTATTTTTATCAAAATAGTTAATTGAGATCAGGTCAATCTACCTATTTCAATGAACATTTCATCAATTTCAAGAAATTCCCAATTGATTTCAATTTAGCAAGTACACACAGACTCGTAATGATTAAAAGACATAACTACAGCTGATTAAAAGTTTGGCCGAAAGTTGGTTTCAAAATATTTCACAACATTAACATAAAAAGTGATCGACATGCACAATTTATAATTCGTATGAATATTATATTTCATAAATTTGCATGGTTTTCACATGTTCCCTTCCTTTTTTCATTTATATTTTGGGTAGAAGATGGCTAATTGTGGTAGAGAAAGATTTAGCAATGGATGCTAAATGAAAGGGTAATTTTAACTTATTTATGATTTCAAATTTATGCCACTACGGCTTTTGTTCCATGTACTGGTAGAATTTGGTGAAAATTTGGTTCAAATGCTCCTCCTCGAAAATAGGCTGAGACTTTCATATCTGATTTCTCTTCATATTTGCATAGTTCATGGTTCCCCAAATTACAAATACATAAGTTTTGTTAGTTGCAATATTCATCAACAAATTTTTTTCTGCCATAAATTAAAAATTGAGCTACCTCTTCATCCTGAAAAATACACTCCATTGGTGCCGGAAAGGATTTAAGAGCCTCCGCACACTTTAAACCCGAACTGTACAAATTTTATATCAATCAAGGTATGAAGGGACTTACATACCTTAATTGATATAATCTATCAAACTCCACACGTCTACCATATCGAAGATTCGAACGTGCTATAGCTTAACAAATTTCTGTTTTTGACAATTTGAGAGGGTCCGACCATTCAACTGGAGCAGGTGATGTATCTGTACAAAAAAATAGTTTTAAAGTACTGAATCAATGTATTCTATCTTCATTGAGCAATGTGAAGTACCTCGAGCGGTACGTGTATGTAATTAGCTGCATTTCTAATTAAATGGATTTGCATGTTTGTACTTTTAGAGATTCCCCATGTGAATTTGTTGATAACATGTTTTAGAAGTTGAACTCATTTATTACTTCTACTTTCCCAGATGTTGGAAACTGTAGAGTTGTTCTCTATCTATTAAATACTCGTATCTATTCTCTGAAATATTTACAGATGACTCCTTCTGTACGAATTACTGTAGTTTTGGCGCTAACTTCTTCAAGAAGATTTCTTTTGCTATTACATTTATATATATAGATATGGATTAGTTTCTTATTAGTGAAATACATTTGTAAGGAATAAAAAGAGTTTTTGTCACTTTTAGTCCTCCTACTATTATGTCCCTGACAGTTTTGTTACTTGACTTTAATTTTTTTACTTTAAGTACTTCAACTATTGTGCGAAATACACTTTTGGTATCCGTCTTTGAAAATTTCCATATTTAGTCCTTCGACTATCATATACGGAGTATAGAAATCACAATTCTGGTCCTTCAACTACTATAGTAGTGATATTTTTAGTATTCCATTTATTATCGTGTCAAAATTATAGTGGAATGACTAAAATTGTCAATTTACTAATACTCAGAGGACTAAATGCGGGAAAATTCGAAGTCGAGAACTAAAAATGTCTCTCGCACAATAACGAGAACTAAAAATGGAAAATGAAAAGTTGAGTACCAAAACTGTCACTCACACAATAGTTGGGGGACCAAAAGTGGCAAAAGTTCATAAAAAAAAATACCGGGGGTACATTTTATTCACTACATAAAAATGAAATAATTTTACCAATTTGAATAAAAAGTGAACATAATATTTATAGTTTCTTTCATTAAATTTGACTATTTGTGGAAGAAAATAAGAGTCTATTTAATTCAATTGACCATATTCTTACAGGACATATATGCATTGAAGGGACCTGCAGATCACGCTGTGATTCTCACCGGCTACGGTGTTGTGGGAAAACAACCTGTTTTTGAATTTAAAAACAGTTGGGGTCCTGACTGGGGATCAAAAGGATATGGTCTCATACATTGTGACGCGATTCTGGATATATGGAAGCCCAGTAACATTGACGTTGTTATGCCAGTAAGTTTTCATGTGGATTGTGGGCAACTGTTCAAGTAAAGTCATAGAGTTGTACACATACACACATCATCATAAATATTAAGACATAACAATATGAAGAAAAAACTAAAATTGAAAATAAGAATTTTTTAGTAAGAAAATGTTGAAGAAGTATTTTGAAAACTTGTACTTTATTTTCACTATGGTATTTAGTCAAAGACTCGAAGCTTATAAATGTTATTAGTATTTTGAAATGTAATGGTTTAAACCTTATACATACTACAGAGTACAGAGTATTAAATTTGACAAGATATATTTTACTCATAGATGGAGAAGGTGCATTTCATTCTCTGAGGGTTATTTATCATAGCCGCTATAGTCCGCCTTTTTCTGACTTGAATTGAGCCTTTTCCCACTTATGTGCTAGGTATATATATGCGTTTGTTTTCAATAGAAGATAGATAATTACACAACTGATCCAATCTGATATGTCTAACTACAAGATAAAGAAGAGAACAGTGATTTTGTAAATCTCAACCTATTTGTTCTCATTAACAATTTTTATTTTTATTTGTGTTTTATGTGGTATTTTGCAGGATGAGGAGACTTAATTTTCTGATAGGATCGAGCGCTTTTTGGATCGTCTTCGACCTTAGAATGCGTATCTGAAACTGTTTTCAATTTTTTTTTTCAGATACGCTGATAGGCTTACTTGTTACTAAAAAAAGTTCAGTTTCTTTTCTTCGTTAGATCTTTTGTTTCACTCCAATCTTGTTACTAAAAAAAGTCCAGCTTCTTTTCTTCGTTAGATCTTTTGTTCCACTCTGAAGGGATTTACTTGTCTCTAGATTGTTCCATTTGATCACTTATACTGCCCCAAACATGTGACTGGATGGTGTTCTTAATGAAGCCTGGGAAGTAGTAATTGAGTTTTGATTTTGTCTACTTGAGAAATTGAAAGACGAGGAAGAGAAGCTGCACAGGTAATGAAAAGGCACACCATCTTCAAACATGTAGTCATATCATTTTTATAAAACCAACCTCAAGAATAATTCCATCCAATGATGGAAAATGGTACACGGCCTACTTCTATTGCGTGGCTCAAGTGCTCAACCATCATAATAGCGTAACTCTTCTCCAATTTTCTTTCACACCCAAGTCCAGGTCTTCAATTATATGATTGGTGGTGGACCCGGTCTGACCGGCCCGTGAACCGGCCCGGCCCGGCCCGCTACTGTGCGTGTCTGGACTGGCCCAGTCAACCAGTCTCGGTACCGGGCCCGACCCGGGGGTCTACTGATAGCAGTTCCGGTGCCTCCAAATGGTGAAACGGCCAGGCCGGGCCCGGTTCCGTTTTTTTTTGGGTTTGGTCTGGATTTAGATAAGCTAGGTTGGGTGATTCCGAGGGGTTTGGGGGTGGGGGTGGGGGGGATGGGGAGTAGGCGTTGAAATAAATAATAAAAAAATAAATAATTAACCGGAACCGGTAGTAGAGCTGGGTCCGAAAAACTGAAAACCGAAAACCGAATCAAATCATGTCGAACCGTAACCAAATAAAACCGAACCGCTAACAAACCGAAACCGAATGTAAAAAACCGAACCGAACCGTAGTTGTTTGGTTCGGTTTTGATTTTTACTCTTCAAAATTGAACCGAACAAACCGAACTAATTAAAATATAAAATTTATTTGTCAATTGTTAAGCATTAATCCTAACAAATCCTAATATCATTAATAGTCTTTGGTTTTCTTGTGCTAGAGAAATAATATAATGTTTGTGTTATGTTTAGTTTAGTTTATAAATTCATTTACACATTCATTGTCCGTAATAATGTAGCTATACGGAATGATGATAATATGTTTTTGCTAGTTATTAGTATTAATTAACTTTTTTTTATTTAACTTAAAGAATTCATATTGATGAAACAATAAATATTCATCTCAACTATATCACATAGAACGTATATAACTTACTCATGATTTTTTTTTAACTAGTCACAAACAATGTAGATTAATAATATATACTTTTATCTCTCTCGTATACTCATATAATTCAAGACATATTTATTTATTTTCATTTTTATTTTATTTGTTGTAGTGTGCTTGCATTCTTTATGTAATACTATGTATATGTTTGATCCCTCAAAGTATTATAACAATTTTAAATCAAATGATAATTTTTTGGCAAAAAACCGAAAAAACCGAAACCGAATCGAAACAAACCGAACCAATCAAACCGTGGTTCCAAGTTTTGAAGTGTTAAACCGAACCGAAACCGAACCGAACTTTTTACTTTGGTTCTATATTTGGTTTTAGGTCAAAACCGAACCGCAAGAACCGAACCCACCCCTAACCGGTAGCCTACCGGGCCGGTTTCGGGCTTAACTCCAACACCTCTAGGCCCGGCCGGGCATAGGCCGGAAGCGGACCGGGCCCAGTCAATGACTATATATGATTGAATATATAGTAGTTTCAAATATTTATCCCAAATTTTGGTTTGTTGAAAAATTTATTTAATCTTCATATATGATTTTAATTGCATTTGTATTATACTTTAAACTAAACTCAATACTTTCCGGAGTTTCCGATTCTTTACCACTCCACATACTTGCAGATTGTAGTACTACTACGACGACTACTATTACTATTACGACTACTACTACTATTACTATTACCACTACGACTACTACTACTATTACTACTACTACGACTACTACTACTACGACTACTATATTTTTGTTGATTGGTTTATCTATATGTTACTCCCTCCGTCCCATTTAAAGGTTCTCCCGTACACTATTCTACGGTCAACGTGCATTGTTCTTAATCTTTTACTTTATATATCGAAAGTTTATGAAAATTATTTTTTTTGCAGGTTTTGTAGCGGTTTTAATGTAGTTTCTGAATATGTAAATTTTATTTACTAAAAATAATTTTATTAATGACAGAGATCAATTAACTTTATGATCAGTCAAACATCGTAAATCGTGATGGAACCTTAAAGTGGGACGGAGGGAGTACTATATTCTGTCATATTACACATGTCATCTCTGACTCTGAGGATCTGTTTGCATATACTTGTGCTTTTCAAAAGTGATTTTTTTAATAGATTATTGAAAAAAATGATTAGTAGTAAAAGTATTAAGTGTTTGGAAGTAAAAACGATTTTAATTAAAATGTAAAAGTTGGAATGTTTGGTAAAAAAATGATTTTTTATGTAGTTTTTTTGTGAAGTACAAAACTACCCCTCCCCTTTAATAACTAAACATAAATGTACAGTCCCGTTTCTCATCTTTCACGCACAGCAGTCGTTTCTCATCTTTCACGCACACACCGTCACACCTTCTCAAATTGACAAGTCCAGACTCCAGAAGCTAGGGAGCAAGCAGTATATAAGTATATACGGAGTGTTTAATAAAAACAAAGATGCAACAATGGAATGATAATCGTGAGAACGGAAGAGAGCCAGTGGATGAAACAAAAATAGGAAATACAATCTGAAATTGAACATTTTTCACCGGTTTTCTCATAATAAAAGCGGGATTATTCTGGGATTACGTAAAGGTGAGATTATTATGAGAAGTTCAGCGAAAGGTGAGATTGGTCTTGTCAAATTTTCCAAAAGAAAACGAGGAAAATGCCACGCAAGACACAATTAACTGGGAATCTGATTTGCACCGGTTAACAAGCTCAATTGAACGTTTTTTTCATGAGTTTGAGGTTGTAATTTGGTGTTCTTGAATTACGAGGGCCTAATCGACGTTTTGGCTATACATACGGGGCTTATCTGATAGTTTTCCCAAAAGATAACAAGGAAAAGGAAAAAAAAACGTTATAGTACGAGGGCTTATCTGATAATTTTTCCATAAATAAAAGTGCGCATTGTAAAAAACAATTCCAAATTGCAAAAATTAATAGAATTAAATTCTAGTTTTTCATACATGCAACATCGGTGACCAATGAAAGATAATAAAAAAATTAAGAATTTTGATATTTTTTGTAACAATCGATTACAATATAAAAAGATATACAACACTTTAAAAAACATATACATAGTTTTTTTTAAAAAAAATTAAGTTTTTTATATATATTCAATATTGGTGTTATCTGAAAGATAATACAAAATTATGAATTTTGATATTTTTTTTGTAATAATCAGAGTACAAATCAAAGAGTTATAATACTTTAAAATAAACATAAAATTTTATGTTAGTGGGGTTATCACTAATTTATCTTCAAGATAGTATAGTCTACCGTGTAGTATACGAAGGACTAATGCTATGTAATACTATCTTTCGTTTTTTAATTCTTATAACAATTTGACTTTCACGTTTGCCAACACACAATTTTGACTGTAATTATATTTAATTATGCACTAGTAAACATTATAAAAAGTTGATACTCTGGCAATTCACATTGATAGGAATTCAATAACATTTTATAGGTAATAGTTTGATTATGTATATTAGTAGAAAATCATGGTCAAAGTAAGGTCTGTGAATAGTGCAATTATATACAATGTTGCAAGAATTAAAGAATGGAGGAAGTATATGAAATTTGAAAATTGACTTTGTGATTGAATATAATTGTTGATAAGATGACTTGTGATAAAAATTTAAAATGTATTATTTATTGATACATGTAAAACTGTTTCAACCAATAAAATTGAGCTATAGACTGCGGACGTCTCTAGGGCTTTCCCTAGCTAGTTTTGCCGGCGGCGGCGTTTAGTCGCTCAAGTCCGGAGATTTTGATTGCGTTTTGGATCGTCTTTCTCCCACCGGTAATTTTCAGATCTCAATTCGTCTCATAGGCTTGAGGAAGAGGTGAAGGCAGGGTTGGGGTCTGGTTCTTCTTCACGGTAGGGGTTTAATTCGGCTTTGGGGAGTTCGAGAAGGAGGTTGCAGGCTGCTGCTTTTTCGTCAATTGGATGAAACGATTCGGCCACATGCAATCTGGAAGGTCTGTGGGCAAGCCGGATATGAAGGGGATGATTAGCAAGTGCCATAGCAGGGTTTTTGAAGGTGGTGAAGTAGGCCTGTTTCTGGACACGGAGGTCACGGATGAGAAAGGGACTCCAAACAAGAGCTCACGTGTGAAGGTAGACGAAGAGGTGCTGATACGTCCCCCTCCTGAACCGCCGCCATGGAGAATTTTTGGGGCTAGGACTGTGGGAACTCGATGGAGGTTTCTCGGGAGAATAAGGATGCATTTTAATTTTCATGTTGCTGCTGCGTTTGTTTTTTTTATTATTTTCGATCAGACTATGTTTATTTCTTTTACTGTTACTTTATTCTGTCAGACTTTTACATTAGGTAGGGGTGATGAGGGGTTCGCTCTGGCCACGTTTGGCTCATTTAGACCCATTACAGGACAAGCGAATCATATTGCTCTATCCAGGGTGGTTGGTTCTCAAGCTGGTCCGAGGGTTGGTGGCTGGAAGTGTTTCCTTTATCGTTTGCATCCCTTGTTGAATGTTTTATTATCAATATAAGCCCTCTAGTTCTTGCTAAAAAAAAAATTGATACCATGTAATTAAATTTTATACATGTGACTTGCATGAGTGAATAACTAGTTTTGATAACATAGAAAGAAGAATATGGGACAAATTTTCTCTAAATGGGCAATATGTTATATTCGAATTCAACATAAGTCTGATTCTATTTCTGTTTGGACCTCTCAAGCCCAACTTCCCTTATTTCGTCAATTAACCTTAAGACACTGACCATTCCAACCTAGATCTCATTCGGCTCAGTGCCTCCTCTTCGGCGCAGTTCCGCATCTATCAATCTAATAACCAGGTATCTCACCGATCTCGAATCTTAGCTTCTTCCGATATCCTTCTGGCCTTAGCAAATTATTTCCTGACAAAATTTATTCCCTGTTTAAACTATCATCCGGATCTGAAAGCAATTATTAAAACGTAAAATATCATTCACCGATTTATGCAAATTTTATCGTATCTCCGGTGTATAGAATTTAGTTGTGTGTGCGTGTGTGTATACATATATATCAAATCTTCCTGTTTTCATGATTGTACAAATAGTTTCATAAGCACAAACAATTTCGCCTAACGTTGTTAACTTTTTTTATTTGCCCTTTAAAATATATATACATGTGCGTGTATATGCGTGTGTGTATTTTGTATTTGTATATATCTGTCATAATATGTATTTATAACTTGTACAAACACACATGCAATCAGATTATTTTTATTGTTCAAATATATATCACTTTTATCAATTAACTTGCAGTTTTTTTTTGTGCAATTACACTATTTGGAATGTGTTTTTAATTCAATTGAAATTGCTCCAATTATAATGAGTTTACCTACACAGCTACACTCATTCATGAACATTTACTTTTAAAAATATCATTTAAAATCAGTAAGTGCCTGTCTAAAGTCTGCATTCATGGAATTCTTCTAGATTGTCATGATAAAGTGGCCATCAAATCCAACCATTTTTAAAACTTAAAATTAATCAGTGAAATAGCTACAACATAGTGGTACTTAAAAATACTTGTATCCATAACCACAAGATGTGTTAGTATATAGATACAACATCTCATTAGCATGAAATAATTTCTTTCTACATGTAATAGGGTAGGTAAGTGGAAGCCTTAGAGCAATGGAAGATGCAGTCTCATTGCTTGTCTCCTCTCCCTCCACGTGGATCTCAAAGAAAAGGAATCTGGACGAGTCCCATCCGGAAAATACCATTGCGGATGTGCAAAGCCAATTTATCACAAAGCCTTTGAAAGTGGATGGAAAAAACTATAACAGTGGGGGTGGCTCTGGTCGTATTTCTGGGTTGCGTGTTTTCAATGATCCATCGTTGAAAGTAGGCATCAATGCTTACCTAATAATGATTGGTTATCAAATCATATCACTTCAGACAAGTTGTTCACAATAATATGTATTAGTATTTAACATGATGTCATTTTGTAGGTAAGATTACCCGGCACAACACATCATCCGCTTCCAGTTCTCATGGAAGAGAAGAATATTGCAAAATATCAAAGGATTGTTGCTCTAAGCAAAATGTCCCTTGATTTTTTCGAGAAAAATCATGTATGTTGGGTTTCTTTCCTCTCGTAAAGTTACATCTTCAAAAATGACACTAATCACAGAATCATTTCCATACTGTTGATCATATTCTTCTACTCAATTTGTAGCCAGGAGAGCAGTATGAGTTTGACAGTCTGAAGGATGTGAAGAGTGAGCCTATTCATGGCCTAACATATTTCATCATCTTTTTGGCAAAAAACATGGGGCTAAATGGTAGGCCTTCAGAGACATTTAAAGCCCGAGTAAACTTGCTTATGAAGGACATCAAAGTGCTGGAATGTGAGCTGATAAACTAGCTTGGGTATTGCTCTCGTAGCTGTTAATTAATACTATTTATGGAGTATTGTTAATGTTTTAATGGTTACTACGGAGTAATAGTAAATATATTTATGCGACACTTTGAAGTGAAGAAATGTGAGCTGTTAAACTGGCTTGGGTGATGCTTGCTTGGATATTGCTCTCGTAGCTGTTAATTAAATACTATTTATGGAGTATTTTTCATGTATTAATGGTTACTACGGAGTAATAGTAAATATATTTTTGCGACACTTCGAATTGAAGAAATGTGAGCTGTTAAACTGGCTTGGGTGTTGCTTTAGCGGCTTAGCCCTTTGGCTTCTATTAATGAGTAATGAAATACTGTTCACATAAGTATTTAAATTATGTTTCAATAGTTGCCAATGACAAAGCTCTCACTGATGTCTAGCCTGTGCATGTATGTTGGTCGACTTTTTCTAGTTTGGTAGTTTATTGCATTTACTGGCCCCAACACACTCTGTGAAGTGTTGTATGGTTTTTGTGGTCCAAAATGGTTGGCAGGAAACTGATAAACCTTGGTGTTTTGTTGGGAAAATTGTATTGTGTGGCCCATGACTTGTATTTCTATGAAGTCTCAAAGTGTAGGTCTTGGAGTAGATTTATGGAACATCATATGACTCTCTTATGGAGTCATATGGGTATTGTGGCACCATCATCCCTCCTATCACTATAACTAACTTCTAATACCAATCACATAGGTCATGACAGCTAAAGAAACCAAAAGCAACCAACATTCTAAAAGTTTTTGCATCCTTTGCGTCACTCTCAATGACCCTTCTAAGACATTCAAAATCCTTTGCTTCACTTTCAATGGACCTTCTAAGACCTCAACTTGTCCTTGCATTGCACTTAACTGGTTAGCTAGTCTTGAGATCATGCCCTTTGCTTCATCTCTACTTTCCATCCTCTTTTCAACATGAATTGCTTCACTGGTTTGGGCAGAGTCTTTCCACATAAAATATCCACAAGCCCTAACCTGAAATTCAATGTGAATATTTGAATTGCAATTGTAAGTATTTACTTGCAATCTCTCTTCACAATCTACATGTGCGCATCAGAGGCCCAGCCAAGCACATGAGTGTGATGGTTGAAATCGGACAAAATATTCAAAATATTTAGTTGTGACCTTCATACGAATGCTGCAAGTTTTGATACTTGATCATTTGTCCAACTTTATCATCGCTTTAATGTTCCTTTTTTATTAAATCTACTAAATGCAAGACTTCATTCACATGGAGTGTGATGGTTGAAATCGGACAAAATATTCAAACTTTAAAATGCACTAAATCTTATTAATCTAGAAAAGAGGTAATATGCGACATTCGGAGTAATGAATTTTTATTATTGCTACTAACATTTTTTTTTGTCCAAGGATATACAGAGTATAAAAGAGTAGAAGTTGAATTCTTTTTATGTTAATGTATTGTCAGAATTACATAATCACACATTGAGGCTGTGTAGTGGATGAGTATGATTGTATACATTTACGCAACAGTTTCATTCACATTCAATACATGATGTCTTTTTTCCTTGTATTTCATACATCTTAAAAATGAATAGTGAACAAAATATGTCAATACTCAATACTAGCCACATTGCTGATCTTATCCATCTACTTAATGGTGTGAGTATTCCTAATCTCCTGCAAACATATTTCTTTTCGCAAAAAACTTGGGGTGGATGGCCATCCTTTAGAAACATTTGAAGCTCGAGTAAATATGTTTATGGATGCTTCAAAGTGAAAGAATGTGAGTGTGGACATCTAAAGTTGGTGGGCTGTTTCTATAAATCAATGGGGCTTTTAAGATAGCCTTGGCGGGTTGTGACTGAAATTAAGCCTCATTTAAATGTTATCGGACTAGTATATGTCTGATTAGGCCTCCTTTGAAAGCTATTGGGCCAATATTGAATTCTGACGGGTCGCTCATGATAGTTGTTGGGCCTTATAAAAAATATTTATATGGGTCCATTCGAATAAAATTTAGTGATTGAATTAATTTGAGTGATTTTAAAAAATCCAATCAATTTAATTATAAAGTAAGTCTTTATAAAAATGGACCGGTCCTATTAATTTTAAGACCATAATCAAATAATGGCTCAATGCATAATAGAGCCCAAAGCCCATTTTATTTGGGGCCCAAATGATATGGACGAATTTTGAGAACGCTAAAGCATATTTCATCCCCTCCATACCTATAAATAGGGGTCTCAGTTGAGAGGAATGAGGAGTAGAACTTCCAGTCGAAGAAACGCTGCAGAAAAGCTCTGAAGCACTCCCGAAAGGCTCTGAAAGATTCCGAAACATCGGAAGAGATCAAGACACAATTTTTATCAAGAATATATGAATATCCTTTATGATTTCATCTATTCTTGATCAAACAAAGCCAAAAGTGGAAGAACGTTCGAACATCTGAAGAACGAAGCTTGAAGATTCGAAGATCTGAAGAACAATGCTTTGAAGATTCGAAGCCCTGAAGAATGAATCTTTGAAGGTTTGAAGATATTCATATGAAGTTTGAATGAAGATTCAGCTGAATATCAAGCCATATATCCCAGGAGGCCCTTAAACATAAAATCAAACCATAAAACGGTCCTTTTGTTGAACATCAAGCCACTTGAAAACCGGAGGCCCTTCAAGCTGAATTTTGTATTCAAGAAAATTTGAAGATCCGAAGAACGAAGATTTGAAGATTCGAAGATCTCAAGAACGAAGATTCAAAGATCCGAAGAACGTTTGAATATTTGAAGAATTAGAGATTTTATTTTAAATCAAATTCTTTAATTGTATGCATTTCAGATTACGAGTGAAGAATCCAAGGATTCATATTTAGAGATTCTACTCAATATTCTCATATATTATTATTTGCGATCAATTTTAAGTGAATACTTAAAATTTGTTTCACAAATTTTTGGCACACCCGATGGGACAACTCTAGCTCTCATCTCTTCATTTTGATTAAGCAAAATGAACCAATGGTATCAAGCAAGCCCGTGTTCACGCTAAATTCTAGAGCATCATCAAGATCGAGTCAAAACATGAAAGGTCCTATCACTTTGGTGCAGAGGATAGCTTCTGGTCCAAGCTGTTAGAGAGAAAAGTGATAAATCAAAATATACATTGCTATAGTGTGAGAGAGAAGTGGAATTGAAATTGTGACAGCTGAAAACAGAAAAATTAACATGAGTCGTAGATGTAAGTTTGAGATCTAGCGGCTGAAATGCTCTTTACATTGAGCGGAAAAATGAATCCATCCAAGGTATTGCTATTAATTGATCCCTCTGTCATGGCATCATAGCGAGCTGATGAGCTATGATGATTTTTGTGAGACTTTGAAAGGGGTTCAGTTTACGATCGAAGATAAACATGACGACACCGTTTCTGATGTGAAGAAAAACATTGAAACTATTAAGGGTTCAGATGTTTATGTTGGAAAATGTGTTAGTAAATTGCATTAAATGATCATTTTAGGGAAATTTTTTTTAGTGCGGTCCACTTCTGATTTGGGTCGGGTCAAAGTGGTTTCGGATTGTCCTTGCTTAGAGCTACAATTCGATATATGGTACACTCAAAACGGATAACGGGTGAATGAGAAATTGATTCTCAAAGTTCACTCGTTGGAATGGAGAAAATTAGGAAAAGATGAGTTTCTAGTGTGGTTTTTTCCCACACCGGAAAACTCAAGGGAATTTGAACCCTTTATAAAAAGAACCCCCCCCCCCCCTTAAGGAGTTAAGATTCCTTAGGGTAAAGGCTCTCTCCACGTGCACAGGGGGGTGCAAATCAAATCCCGAAACCGGAGAACAAAAAGCCCGACTTGTGTGCGCGGGAGACCTGCGGACACGAATGCCTTCCGAAAATTCCACTTCGTATCTTCTAAAGATAAACGTTGATTTTTGTTCCTATGTTAATTTCCTAATTTTTTGCTCCAGGTTGGAGCAGGCTACTGCTACGTCCGCAATAGGCTCGGCAGCTCCCTGCGCATCGGGCTACTGCTCCATGAATGTTGAACGTCCGCAGCAGGTTGCTGCTGGGACGTTACAACACCATAAATGTCCAACGTTCCTTTGCAATAAATGGACGGTTTTCTGGACGAATCAATGCCAACAAGCTGGACATTGATTACCAACGTTCATATGCATTAAACCTCCATTAACACACCTCCAAATCCTTCCTATAAGTAGCTGACAAGTGATTTATAACAAAACACAACTCACAAACGAACTCACGCACTTTTGAGCTCTCGAAAACCACTGCTAGCATTCTGAAAATTCCTTCTGTGTTCTGCCTTTGTTCACATTCGCCGGAACAATCGTTTAAGTGCTTAAACGGTTGCTCGTTAGTCATCGTATCCTGGGAAACGATCATTGCAACGCTCCTAGCACCCGGGGAGGCAACGAATACATTTTAAGGAAATCGTGCGTTGCACGAGCTTTGACTAAATTCTGCTCCATCTCTTCTCTTGTTTTTCTTTTGTCATTTTATTAATGAATTTATTTTAATTAATTTTCTTTATTTTCCAAAACACACCCAACAGTTTATCCATTAGGGAAATGTTCTGAAGGACACAACAACATCTCAACAGTGGAAGAAAATAAAGTTGGTGAAAATAGTTTTGTTGTCATTATGCTAAGCAAGGTGAGGCTTCATCAATAGAATCAGAACCTTTAGGCAAGGCCGAACCTATAACAACTTCCACGGGACAATCAACACAGGCAGTAACTGCACAACCATCTACCGCCTCTATTGTCGAAATTCCACACCCTGCATCTAGACCTGCCCCCTACTCATCCTCTTGCCCCCTGCCCCAGCTACTGCTGTTTCTGTGTCAGGTGTCTATGATCAAGCAGCATCAAACATTGTGGCTGGAAGTAACTTAATTAGAGACCACAATTCAACAAATTCTTGATATGAGTGCGGGAAGTTGGGACTGGGAGACAGTCATCCTTGCTTTGCATGCTGCATATAACAATCCCGAGAGAGCTATTGATTACTTGTATTCGGGTATACCTGAGCAAGTTGGAGTTGAAGATGCAGACCAAACTTCCATTACTCCTCCAGGCGGTCAAACCATGGACCCTCTAAACGTGGCATCTCAACAAACAATAGCTTACAGTGGCCCGAATGCCAATCTTTTAGATCTCTTTTCACAGGGCCTTCCAAATATGACATCTAATCCAAATTTTGGAGTCATCCAGTCCTCTTGAACTTTGGAGTGATCTGATTATGCTCATTCATGTTTATTAATAATTTGATAAAATTATATGATCTTAAATTATGTTTTCACCGAAAATACTATCTTACTAAATGTTTATATTGAAAAGAGTAAATAAATACCAATGCAAAGAAAACTTATTTAAAATAAATCCAAACAATTCCAGAAACGTAAAACAATTGCATGATGATGTAGGAAATTTAGCCTTTTCATTTGTTTTTTCAACCCTTTAACCTGCAAAAAGATCATAGAAAGTAAGAGGAGACTAATTTAGTTTGGAACAAAATAAAATAAATTCTATATATGGAGTTAATCCAACATGAGAATCATCAAGTAACTTGGTTCAAGAGCA